TCCCCTCGTCTTGCCAAATTAACACGTCACCGCTTCATCCCGTGGTTTAACGCCCAGATATTGTGCACCTCTACGTCCGTTTCCTGGGAGAGCTTGCCGGATTCCCGAATCTTCGAGGATTCAAGTCTCGGCCATTGTGCGACTGGCCTGGCTCTGATCCCCATATCAGACGTTTCCCTGCGGGTCATAAGATCATATATGAGGCTATCGTTCGGTTCGACTTGAACGTCCTTAGAACACGAGCCCGTTCGATGACCGCTATCCACTGCCTTGAACGTCCTCCCCTGATCCTACAACATGTCTTAATGGGATGTCTATGTCGGAGTGACTCTCACTTGTAGTTCTGGTTCGAGGATGGTCACCGCATCCTCTCACGGAACTCGGCTCGGCTCCGGTGTCTCTCCCTCGACATTGTTTGGTAGATGATAAGTAGAATTCCTCCTAGAGAGACCCAGCCATTCGTCGTCCATGGAATGCTATATTCATCAATCAAACTCTTTCGCTGACGAATAATGTAGCCTGCCCCATTGGGGGCTTCATACTGGATCCTACATAAGTGGAAACAAGACCTGGAAGTTTCGTATGTTCGTTGGGTTTATGTTCGAGGAGAGTGTTTCCAGACATAAATGTGTTTTTATGCAGTGCTAGATCGCCGTCAACAACTAATCTAATATTGTCCTCCTCTTTCGAATGCTGTTGTTATATCTTGCTGAGGCCTTGATATGGACATGTGCCGGGGATATCTATCGCAACTGAAGCTCGATTTGGCTCCACGACTGACGATAAATGATAACTGAGAGGGAACGGGACCCGAAGGGAAAAAGAATTACATGAATATCTGAGGTTTAGTCTCAAGGTTTAGTTGTCCGGGCGTGTTTTTGAGAGTTGCCTCGCGGAGCCTGTTACAGAGGAATAGGCTGAGCGAGGGAGAGCACAGGGGATCTTTTCATAAATGAATAACTTGAGGCTGGATCTATCCTATCTTCCCAGTATCGTTTATACTTTCTGGTTTCCATGCTCGTAATCCACGCGATACGGCGTCTTGGCCAACTTGGAATTCTACTATGAAGGATGCGATGCCGAGGAGGCAAAGATACTGCCCCCACATCTTCAACACGGCCTTTGGGGGATGGAACTTCGAACGAAGAACCCGGACTAGACTCTTGGAAGACGTTCCGGAAAGGATCGTGGTCCACTCATCCGGTCTATGTTGTGCTCACCTTGGACGTCCCCTACTATGAGTCAGGTGGCGGTGTTGAATATAACGGCCTGGATGAGGAAAGCTCCCTCGTGAGTCACCCGGACCGCTATTTAAGTAAATGCCAAGAGGAATGAGGATCCAAGAAGGAAAAGGGCCATTAGAAGTGGCGAAAGTCGCTGTGATATTGGACACCTGGTGGTTATCAACGAGTTCGTCACGACTGCCCGCTTTTCATGCTTCGCGATGCACTTTCGCCTCAGGATGAACCAACGTATTTTACTTCTTTTTGTCTTTATTCTTATTTTTTATCTTTCTAAAGGAGAGAGAGCAAGTCACTGGATTGAGATAGCTCGGTTTACACTGCTCGAGGCAGCAATGCAGGACCGTGGGGCGATGAGGTAGTTGCATAGCTTCCTGTACTGCGGACAACGATAAATTTTTGCGGGGTGTTCACTACCCCTCCTTCTCCCACTTTTTCTTCCTTAATGTTTGCACCTTTACATCATCCTCCATTGTGTCTTTCTTTCTATTTTCCCTGACTCTGTGACACATTTCCCTCTTTCCCGCCTTTCTCCATTGGAGAACTAGCAAACCACTCAACTCCCCTTCAAGAGCCTGGAGAAGCATCACCCCTCCCCTTCCACCACCCACCATGTCGCGCCAGATCAACCAACCCTCCAATCAAATCAAGCTGACCAACGTGTCCCTCGTACGCCTCAAGAAGGGGAAGAAGCGTTTCGAGATTGCCTGCTACAAGAACAAGGTCCTTGAGTACCGCTCCGGCATCGAGACGGACCTGGACAACGTTCTGCAGATCCCCAATGTCTTTCTCAATGTGTCCAAGGGCCAGACGGCGCCGCGGGACGACTTGGACAAGGCCTTTGGCAAAGGGAAATCCGTCGACGACATCGTGCTCGAGATTCTGAAAAGGGAGAGCTGCAGGTCGGGGAGAAGGAGAGAGCAGCGCAGCTGGAGAGGGTGCATAGCGAGGTGGTGGGCATCGTGGCGAGTAAGTTGGTGGATCCGAGGACGAAGAGGGTCTACACGACGGGTATGATTGAGAAGGCGCTGGACATGCTCACCTCCAAGGCTCACGAGGAGGCGGGCCCTGCCCCGGGCCCTGCTCCGGGGCTGCGCCGGCGGCGGAGGAGACGGCGGCTCCTGCGGAGGAGAACCAGCCGCCGGCGAAGCCCAAGCCCGTGTGGCGTGGGGTGGTGACGACGAAGAGCGCAAAGAGCCAGGCCCTTGAGGCTATGAGGGCTCTCATTGCCCACCAACCCATTCCTGTGGCGCGGGCGAGGATGAAGCTTAGGATAAACTGTCCTACGAATGTTCTCAAGCAGGGCGTCAAGTCGGCCGGGAAGCCCAAGGAATCTGAGGACGGGAGTGAGAAGAAGGCCCCAGGTACTGTCAAGGACCAAATTCTGAGTTACATAGAGCAGGTCGAGTCACAAGAAGCCGTTGGATCTTCGGAGTGGGAGGTTGTTGGCTTCGTTGAACCGGGAGCGTTCAAGGCCTTGTCTGACTTCATCGGCAACGAAACAAGAGGTCAAGGTAGAGTGGAGGTTCTGGACATGGCCGTCACCCACGAAGATCAGGATTAATATGACAGTTTTGATACCCTTTCATTTTCAGCTAGAGCCAGAATGCAAACCCCTACTGCTGCCCACTCAACCGACTGATGCTCTCCGTACACACTGGGCATCAAGTCCTTTGTTCTCATCGCGGCCAGCCAATCTTGTAAGAGGGGGTAACGGGCAAAGAGAGAGAGCCACCGCACACATTTCTTTTAGAGACATCCTATGTAACCTTACGCCGGAACCCCCGTATTCCTCTCTCGAGACACGTGCAACTTTGGTGATGCACATCACTTGCCGTGCGGGAGAAGTGTGCGTAATATGTTCCCTATTTTTTGTTTGCGCAAAGGACGTAAAATCTAGACGACAAAATCCATTGCGATGCAGTGGAGGAATCCGATCGTAATGCAAGCAGTCATGACGCCTATCCCCCGATAACCGAGAAAGACCAATCCTCTAACCACCCCTCTTCTTGGAGACACCGACGGTACGTCCACGACGACCGGTGGTCTTGGTGTGCTGACCACGGACACGGAGGCCCCAGTAGTGTCGGAGACCACGGTGGGCACGGATCTTCTTCAATCGCTCGAGATCCTCACGGAGCTTGGAGTCGACACCGTTGGAAACGATCTGGCTGTCCTTGCCATCGACGATATCCTTTTGTCTGTTAAGGAACCAGGCGGGGATCTTGTACTGGGTGGGGTTTTGCTGTTGTTGGTGAAAAAAACCGGGTTAGCAACGCCTTCCTTAATCGCCACCGACCAAAGAAAAGAAAATAAAAACTGCTTGGGTATCCAGAGCGGGCTAAACGACGATGACTGGGAGGGGGCTATCTTACGAGGATGGTGACGATACGCTCAAGCTCTTCGGAGGTGAGCTCACCGGCACTACAGAGTATATTAGTATTCCTTCTGGTTTTCTGGTAGTTTTCGAATTCGATCGCTTAGGTTTCGTACCGCTTGGAAAGGTCGACATCGGCCTTCTTGAGGACAAGGTTGGAGTACTATGGCTGATTGTTAGTTGTAATCTTCCCAACGATAGAAAGTTCGGACCAAGTTGGCGAAGAAATGAGAGGGCGTCGGGCAAACTTACGCGACGACCGACACCCTTGATCTTGGTCAGGGCAAACATGGTCTTTTGCTCTGTTGGGAAATAGTCAGTAAACCATCCAGACTGTTTAAAGATGCCCATAAAGGCATCTTGTCCCCAATCTCCCCATCCCGACCCTCGGCCAAGACTTTATACATCGGCGATGCTTCATCAAAATTTTGCGTCCAGAGGGTTCGCGATGCGGGCGACGAGGGGATGGGCGGCTCAGAAACACTCACTTCCGTCGACATTGGTGTTGAGGAGACGCAGGATGAACTGGAAGTTCGACTTCTCGCCTGATACGAGCGACATGATGGGCAACTGGTCTCTCGGAGAGTGTCGCCTAGTTGTGTGGTTGGTTGTATGAAGCTGTCGTGAAGAAATCTCAGGACGTGTGGAGAGGCTGTGGTTTTGGGAGGGATGCGGGCTGCGATGTGGGCACTAGGGCAGTCATCACGTGCCGTAGCTTTTTTGTCTCCAGGCTCCTTGGTTGGTGCCAGATTCTTGTGCCACAGGCCGACCCCGTTTTTCGACCGCGCAAAATACCTACTCGCCAATGAGGAGTACCTCGAGCAGTCTTCTCCATAATATTAGTCAGCAGCATATGGTCGACTTTGGATGCTCAAGACACTCTCGACTCTCAACAGGTGGTATATCCCACTGTGCGAAATCTATTGATTTAGCTTGGGGTTTCATCAATTGATCATTCCCACATGAGATCTACCATCGACTTACACGGGCACTCACTTGCGGCTAGTCTACCGCCTCGCCGTCGTCACATTACTATAGAGAGAGTTTTCCAGAATAAACTCGGGTATATATTATGAAATCATGTAAAAGAAGAAGAAGAAAAATGAAATAAAAGGACAAAGAATACCAGCCGTCATTGCCTACGCAAAACAGACGGAGGACTGTCTACAGTCCTGCAACACCTCACTCCCTCTAGAACGCCCCTCATAAACAGCGCCACCGGCGTCAGATCATAGATCTCATCATCCTATGATGGTACACAGCTTTTCACGCGAATCGCCGCCCTTGCATCAAGGAAAACAAGAGCTATGCTATACTAGAATAGGAAAGTCAAAGCTAAACAAGAGCGAATTTGAGTATTTCACAGCAGGGCTTTAAATTTCTTATGATGTCGAGGTAGCAGCTGCGGCGGTGGATGTCGACGTGCTCGTCGCGAACCCGAACCCAAAACCAAGCGGCTGCGCACCGAAGCGGACGAGCCACTGAGCGCGCAGGCCGGCAAGCTGAGCGGCGGCGATCTGCTGGAAGCCGTTGAGGAAGGCCCCTCCGAGGTTGACGAAGCTATTACCGTTGGAAGCGAAGTTTGCGCAGCTCTGGAAGAAGGTGTTTGGGCTCTCGATGAAGGCAGCCTGGTTGGGGAAGATGATGGCGGCGGGGTCCGGGAAGATGAGGTTCAGGGTCGGGGGTCGGTGTTGGGAGGAGGATGACGCTGCCGTTGAAGCTGCCAAAGGGAGCGAGAGGGTTAAAAGTTTGCAGGTTGAACGAGGGGAGACCGGTGAACTGGCTCGCAAAGGAGGAGCCCGTAGCGGTGGGCAGGATGGTCATGGTCTCGGCGTCGGAGACCATGACGGCGATGTTGCGGCTGCCGGCCCCGTTGTCGGCCAGCAGCTGGTTGACGAGGTAGCGGTTCGTGCCGGCACCTCCGTTGCGGCGATCCAAGACGCAGGTCACGGTCACGATGACGGTGTTCTACGGAGAATGGAAGAACCCTTGTTAGCCGTTTTGCGCATGTAAAGATGGGTGAACTAAAGAGGGAGACTGTATCTTACCGCCTGGCTGAACCGAGACCTGAAGTGGTTGACGCGGATGTTGTCCTTGATGGTCTGCAGCTGGCTAACCAAGGCGATTTGGGACTGGATGAGAGCGCCAAACTGGCTCTCGGCGAGCTGGGTCAGCTGGTCGATGACATCAAGGTTGTTGTTTTGGATAACGGTGATGGTCGTCTGCTGAATGGGGGCCCAAGAGCAAGGGCTGGGTGAGTCCGCCGGTGAAGGGATCGAGGAACTGACGCCTCTGAATCTTCTTCTCCGAGGGACCCGCGGCGCGAACGACCGAGCGCTCGTCCAGATGGCGTGGCACTAAAGGCGTTTGGTTTAGTGGACCGGTTCGAGAGTAGAAGCAAAAGAACATATTGATGATGTTCGTTTTTTTCGCTTCAAGGATGTGAGGACTTACCAGCCGCGACCATGGAGGCAAGGCCAGCCAGGGCCGTCATGAAGAAGGAGATATGCATGGTGAAGGAGAATAATGAAAGTAAAAGAGTGGAAGAAGAGGAAGAATGATGAAAACCAAAAAGGGATTACAAGCCTGCTTGGAGGAAGAAAGAAGAGAGACTCGTATCGTCCAGACGACGAGTAGGTATGAGGTGAATATTATAAGTGAGGGTAATGAGTGAAAGAAGGCAAGTAGGAAAGATAGCGAGAGAAAGAGTGACCTGTCCACCGGAAAGTCTAGGCGACCATGATCTGTTATACAGCTCGCATCTTATGATCTATATGTCACGGCGAGGACGAGGCAGGATATATAAGATCCTACACTGCGTTGCAAGCGAGCAGGAACCCCCTTCCCTTCCCCTGCCCCCTCTGCACATCTCCAGGTTCCCCAGGTCCAAAGGGGTGTAATCTCGCGGCCAGGGGATGGGGTTTAGGCGGCTGAATGTGAATGTCCTTCTTCTCCCCTTGGAACCAAGACGAGCGAGCGCGCGCACGCCACCGACGACTGCCATCTCAAACATGACTTGCTCGATTTCACGCAGGATGGCTACGGACCCCTGTCGACGAAAAGAGACTAAGGGCGGGAAAGGTGTGGAAGGCGATGAAGAAAAGAAACCCCCTCCCCCACCTCCCGGGAGGGTTATCCTACGTCCTTCGAGGGATAGAGGAGCGTTGACCCAAACTCACCCCGCGGCACCGCAAATATTGCCTTTCTTCATTATTTTTCTTCTTTCTTTTCTTTTGTCAAGGTGGCTTTCTTCTAGCCAAGTTGGCCCAAGATCGCATAGAATCTGAGAAGGGGTGGAGAGATGTAAGGGGATGCTAGAGTCGGGAAGGGGACTGTAACCCCTGCCCTGGCTCTGCCGGCAGATGGGTGGGTGGGCTGTCGCCTCAAAAATAAAAGCCTTTTCAATATAACCGCATTCGCCGTGACCCTGAGCCTTGGCGTGACGCTTTTGCGCAAGAAGGAAAAAAGGGCTGGGCTTGGACCAAGAGGTCGTCGCGGGGTCTGTCGTGTGAGAGCGCGCGCGCAACAACGACAGGTTGACGGTGTAAGTGTCTTGGATGGGGTGACCACCGAGCCGCACAGATGCCAAGGTGACATCTGTTGCAGCGGTGACCTCAACCGCAAGTGCCGATTTATCCAGGCTCCAGGCCGGCAGCCACCGCTTTTTGTTCGGGAAGGGGGTGTGACGAAGCCGTCCCCTTGAGAGCAGCACCAAAAACGAGACGGCATGTGGTGTCTGGTGGATGAAAGTGCTGAAGCAATGGCCATGTTCTGAAAAGAAAAAAGAAGTCCGCTTCTGGAAAGGGCCAGCGATTTCTCAAACCCACCCCTCTATTGACTTGTAGAATTCCCCAGATTCCTGGTGTGCAAGATGGACGAGGCCGACGTATGCGGTCGTGCGGCGGAGGAGTGACAGGCCATCGCGGGACGAGTGGAGATGACATTCTTGGGATGAGCCTGAGCTTGGGCTTGGGCTTGGGTCGAGTCGGACCACCAAATTGATCGACTTAGACCCCTCGCAACCACGCTCCAAGGCGCTTCTTCTGGCGCATACTTCATCTTTTGATAGTCAAACATTTTCTAAATTTTTACTCTGCGCCATTTCCACTTTTCTTTCTTCGACATCTCTTGATGAATTAATTGATAAGAAAAACCAGGGACGAATGGACGAGAAGAGCTCGGCAAAGGAGAAAAGGAAAGAAGAAAGATATCGCATTTCGTGGTGTGGATGAGCTGAGACGCCATCTGAAACATCTTCGGCCCCGAATACCCTCTCTACCACCCACCACCAAAGGCACTTGGAGCCACTTGCTCACGCTATCTTTCACCAGCAAGCAAAAAAAAAAATTGAATTAATGAATGGAGAACAAGGCCGGGAAGCCGTCCCTCGCCAAGACCTGCCATTCGCGGCATGACATTCTGTGACAGGAACGCCAGCGGCACAAGAAGAACGAACGAGGAAAAAGAGGCAGGGCACGGGGCGGGTTCAGCCTGTGAGTGCGATTTTCCCTTCCTAGAGCCTTTGCAAGACCACCCGAGATTAGATTGCCGTCTAGGATAAAACCGGTCGAAAAAGAGCGCTGGCGAGGATGTCGATATATGACTGGCGATCATGAACCCAGGACCTGGGAGCTAGGCGGGTCATTGATGATCGGGCGCCAAGAAGAGACACGGCCTCCCTTCATCTCGTTCTTTTCTTTTTCGCCTTTCTCTCTCTATCGGTCTTTTCGTTTCTCCCCCGGCCCAGCGAGAAGGAAGAAAATGGAGGGTGGGAGAGAGAGAGAGAGAGAGAGAGTAAGAGGATGGGGGCCATCGTCGGCTGTCGTCATGCAAGCGCAGGACTGGGACCAACGAGAACCTGATACACACCTACCTCCAGAACGCCAGGCAGAGTGCCACCCCATGACCCCATCTTGACACAAGCTTGAGTCCCCTGACTGTGCCGAACAGGCGGGCTCGTTATCGACTATTTCTCTCATTTTCATTCCTTTTTTTCGGCGCTAGCGCATGGCATGGAAGAAGCCTCAAGTTTCTTGCGCGAGTTGAATGCGGAATGGTCTGGGTTTGAAATCCCCTTGCCCGGCCGTTCTTGTCCGCGGAGAGGGAGGTGGAGGATAAGCATCTTCGGTGTAAGCATAAGATATCGGACGTAGCATCGGCTGCAACCGCACTTTGGTGTGGGCTTGCAGACCTTGCGGGTTTACCTTTTTTCCCTCCCAAAGGAACTTGATACGGCGAAGGGCGAAGAGGGAGGTAGGGGCACGCTGCGAGAAGGGGATGGCTGCTATTAACGAAATCATAGATATGTAGTTTAGAAAATTGGGCATGTCACAGTCGTTATTCCGAGGCGAGACTAGTCAGTCAATGAAATCTGATGTTATAAGACTTTTATTGTTCTTCTATTGATATATTGGGTGGACAAACTATTCAAGGCTTGAGAGTAGAAGAAAGCGATCTAGTGGCTAGCTCTTGGGGAAAAGAAAAAAAAAGAAAAAAAGAGACACCCAAAAGCCTGCTATGATGCCAAGATACAAAAGTCGAAAACGCCGAGAACGCCTCCAAAGCATCATCATCGCTTCGGACATCTCTGCCGCTGGAATCAACACATCCCGGCCACCCTTCTAATTAAAAGAAAAAAACGAAACAAGGAGAGTGAAAAGATGGAGGCGATAAGGGAGCCCGGAGGAACACCCTTTAATCATAAATGTCCTCTGCCATCTCGCTATCGTCTCCCATCACCTCGTCTAGCGCGTCCTCTTCATCGTCTGTCATCTCGTCGTAGTCGGGCTCTAGGCTCGTTTCTCTGTGGTTCGCGTTCACAACGATTTTACCATTGTCCATGCGCACCTGCGCCGTCTCGCCATCTTTGATGGTTCCGCGAAGGATGTGGATGGCCAGCTTATTGAGAACTTCCTTCTCGATGAGCCGGGCCAGAGGACGGGCGCCGTATGCTGGGGAATAGCCCGCGCTGGCCAAGAAATCTTTGGTTTCCTCATCCACGTCGATGGTGACTTTGCGGTTGTTGTTGTCGAGGCGGTGCTGCACCTCGCTGATGCGCAGGTCGACAATCTTGCGGATCTCGCTCCGGCTAAGCCGGTTGAAAATGACGGTGGAGCTGATGCGGTTGAGGAACTCGGGGAGGAAATAGTTTCGGAGCGAATTCATCACGAGCTCCCGCGTGGTTGCATCAATCTTGCGGCTGCGGTTCGTCGACCTTGTCAGGTACTCGGCGCCAAGGTTGGATGTCATGACCACGATGCAGTTCTTGGCGTCTATGACACGACCTTGGCCGTCGGTGATGCGACCGTCATCCATGAGTTGAAGGAGGACGGTAAGAATTTCCTTGGCCGCCTTCTCTACCTCGTCGAACAGGAGAATGGAGAAGGGCTTGCGCCGCAGCGCCTCGGTAAGTTGGCCACCCGCATCGTGACCGACATAGCCGGGAGGGGCTCCGATGAGACGGCTCAGGGCGTGGCGCTCTTGGTACTCCGACATGTCAAACCGGATCATAGCCTTGGGGTCGTCAAAGAGGAATTCGGCGAGCGCCTTGGTGAGCAGTGTTTTACCCGTGCCTGACGGGCCGCAGAAGAGGAAGCTGGGCGGCTGGTTGGGGTTGCTAAGCCCGGATCGCTGCAGGCGAATGGCGTTGGCCACCGACTGGACCGCCTCCTTCTGTCCCACCACAATCTTGCCAAGCTCCCTCTCCATGTGCACGAGCTTGTCCTTTTCCGTCGTCTTCAGCCTCGTAACCGGAATGCCAGTCCACCGCGCCACGATTTCATTGATGTTATCAACTGTGACCACGTCCGTTACCATAGGGCCCTCGGCATTGTCGGGGTTCAGGCTCAACGACGCATCTGCGGCCGCCTTCTTGGCTTCGAGGTTCTTGATGAGCATCCTTTGCTCGGGAATAGCGCCATACTTGAGATCGGCTGCCCGTGCGTGGTCTGCCTCATTCTCGGCATCCTCGAGTCGTTTGATATACTCGTCTAGCTTGACCTTGGCCAAGTGAATTTCCTCGCCGCGCTTGATCTCGCTATCGTACTTTTCTTTCAGAGGAGCTAGCTCCTCCTCGACGTTCTTGGCGTCCTTACGAGCCTGGGCGAGACGAACTTGCGATGCCTCATCCTTTTCTTTCTCGAGAGCCTTGATTTCGATAAGCAGTTGCCTCAGCTTACGTTCCAGTGAGTCAATGATTTCGGGCTGTGACTCGCGGGCAACCCGGACGGCAGCCGCGGCCTCATCCACTAGATCAATGGCCGAATCGGGAAGGCGTCGTGTGGTGAGGTACCTAGCCGCGAGGTTGGCCGACGCTACAAGGGCGGAGTCGAGAATGGTGACGCGGTGGTGACGGTCGTATCGCTCCTTGAGGCCTCGAAGGATGGAAATGGTCTCGGGTACGGTGGGCTCCTTGACAAGCACCTGCTGGAAACGTCGCTCGAACGCGGCGTCCTTCTCGACGTACTTGCGGTACTCGGCGAGTGTAGTGGCGCCGATACAATGAAGCTGACCGCGGGCGAGCATGGGCTTCAACAAATTGGCTGCGTCCATGCCGCCTTCGCCAGATGAGCCAGCCCCCATGAGAAGATGGATTTCGTCGACGAAGAGCACAATGGTTTCCTTGGAGGACTCAATTTCCTTCAAAACGCCCTTCATGCGTTCCTCGAATTCACCTCGGTACTTGCTACCTGCAACGAGGGCACCGACATCGAGGGACAAGAGCTTGCAGTGCTTGAGGTTGTCGGGCACATCACGGTTCGCGATGCGCTGCGCTAAGCCTTCGACGACGGTTGTCTTACCGACACCAGGTTCTCCGATGAGGACAGGGTTGTTCTTCGTCCGGCGACTGAGAATACGGACGACCCTGCGGATCTCCTCCTCTCTTCCGATGACGGGGTCGATCTTCTTGTCCTTGGCCATTGCGGTCATGTCAATGGTGAATTTGGCAAGGTTTTCATGCTCCTCCTCGGTATCTGCTGTCTTGGAATCTACTCTCTTGGTGCCCCGTATTTCCCGAACTGCATCCGCAACGAGCTTGGGCTTGGGGATATTGCTCTCCTTTAGAGCTGTCTGGATGTTGTGGTCTTCGGAAAGAGCCACCAAGAGGTGGTCCACGCCTATGTAAGTGTCCTTTTGGAGCTTCTGGAGGTCCTGGGCCTTCTTGAGCACTGCGTGGAAAGAGGGAGCCAAGCTGACGTTCTCCGGGGAGGGTCCTGGCTGGGAAGCCGAACAAGCATCTTTTTGAGCGACCGGTCAAACGCTTGGGGGTCGCCATGAGCCCGCTCGATGACCTGTCGGAACATTGTGGTGGAAGCCCCAGGGACGGCGTTTTGCTGATCCTTGGACGGGTCTGGCGGAGGGTCGAGGAGAGAGACTGCGAGGTGAACGGGAAGAAGCTGGGCATGAGCATATTGCTCGGCCAAGGCCATGGCATCCTCCACGGCCTTTTGGCCCCTATCCGTGAATTCCATGCGCGCCGCCATTATGCCGAAAAGTGGTAATGAATTGGTAGTTTGTGTCGCTTCGAGTGCTTGCAGGGCAAGGCACGTCCGTCCGTGCTTCAAGTTCTGCGTAGATAATCAAAGCGAGAGAGAGGGTAAAAGGGTTTGGTATTAATGTGGGAAAGGGGGGAAAGGAAGAAAAAAAAGCTGAATCGTGGAGCTGTTTCCTTTGCTGCCTAGCAGAAAGGCAATTGTGACCTTTTGCGCTTGTTGCTGTCGGGCACTTTCGTGTCTTAACTTCGTGTTCTCTCCGATCAGTGAGGTGGGAAGGAAGAGATGCGTCTCCGGGATTGACGGAAGCAAGGAATTTATTTATCTACCGTAAAGCAGGCTTGAAACTTAATCGACAGAAATACACTTCCAAGGTTCTCGAAGCTGGTGGTGGGCTGACGTTGGTACGAGAACGGCCTGGCATTTGTGGGTGGGCTCTTGCAAGTATGGGAAGATCCTTGATCAGGCGCGAACCTACCAGAAGCTCCCAGAATGAGTGATGTCAGTATTATTTGGTGGGGCGGGAGCTCTGGCTCGGCGAACCCCGCTTCAGGCTGTCCCCGCAACAGCTCCTTCCCTTTCAACGCCTCCCGTCTCTGTGTGGCTTCTCTCCCACCACTCAACCCGCCTCGTCAGAGGGCAAGCCTCAATAATCGTGGAATCAATACTGTTGCACTTTAGGGAAAATGTCAGTTGAGGCGGCGATGGGGCAGAAGCCCGAAAGATGATATGTAAGATCTCAACGCAGACAATGAACGAGAGTCGATGTCGGGCTCCGTCAAAGAGGGTCCTGCATGCCTCCTTCATCGCTCAATGGCGTTCGCGGATGGCTTGCTTCTGACATGGCTGCAGGTTCGGCTGGTGTTCTTCCTGACCCAGTCCTGACGAGTCATGGCTAGAGCTCAACTTTATTCCTCGAAAGCTTCGGGCGAGTTGACGGCGTCCTAATTTGCTGCCACCTGCTCTTCATGCGAGCAGTGCAGATACTCACTACCTCGGTATTGGTGGAGTATCATTGAAGCTACAAACTTAAAAGCTCTCCCTCCGATTTCAGGGAGAGTCTCGGATGCGTGGCGATTCATGGTTAACAGTGCGCCACCCTGATATTAGACCTCCTTGAAATTCTGGCTTGAGCGGACAGGCAAGGCAGGCAAAGGGAATTTAGACGGGAAAAGGGTCTAGATTGCTCTGGAGTTGGCCCAGGTGGGGCGACGACAGACATCAGTCATCTCGCATGAAGAGTTAATGACTAAGCAAACCAAAAACCTTCGAGATGCGATGGGCCAGCTGGTACGGCGGACCCTGCAACATCCCGTCCCGGCCGTGTTGCGTAATCACGTGATACCATTTTAAATCGCCGGCAAGTCCCGCCTTGGCGGTCGTGAGAGGAAGTTTTTTGAGCTGCATCGCGTTTAGGAGCCAGGAGAACTGAAAGCTTCATACAACCATTGGCATTCGACCCGGGCTGCAGCACCTCGACGCGCGGCGCTACTAGACACGCACACACACATACACGATGAGCGCGGTACCATTGACGAGGCCATCGCTGGTCTCCCAGCTCTCCCAGTTAGCTTTTGGCGTATCACGAATGAGCATACGGCAAGGCCACTACAAGTCGCGATTCCGACAGCCCCAACCCGAGCTCTCAGGGTACGCCGAGGGCCACGGCGAGAGGATCTGGGTGTTTCACCAAGTTCGAACTCACCAAATTGTCTATTCTCACTCCCATGTCCTTGATGTATGTGTCACGAGACAATCCGTCTGAAGGCTGCAGGAATAGCAAGATGCTATGGAACTCGATGTTGGGGCAAGAAACCAGGAGACTAATCTGTGAATTCCTTTCTTTATCTAGGCCCACAAAGCGTTGAAGCAAATCCCCTTTGCGGGAAAGAAGACCCGACCGGCCAAGATCCGGAAGGATCTGTGGCGACCGCTCGCCGTCCTCGAGTTCCCCAAGGGAATGGGTGCCGTCGGACGCTCAGTCTTTGCCAAACTGCGCGAGTTTCGCAGACGCCACGAACTCGAATGGGAGGACGACGTATACTTTGAGATGCGGCCCGACGGCAACAGGAGAGTCCTGACGCGACAGCAAAGAGGCCTCAAGATCCACGAGCAGCTGCCCAACGCGGTCGCTGATATGGCGGCGGTTCTGAGCGGCATCGGAAAGTCAAACAAGATGTGGCTCGAAGCGCCCCCACGAAAGAGGCCGCAACCGAGGCTGGAGACGCGGCGGGCGAGGGTTCGGAAAGTGCCGCGGAGACGAGCGAGGGCAAGCTCTGCCAGGCCACCATCTTCTGGTCCAACGGCATCTTCAAGCACCACGCGAGGGATTGGACCCCCAATGTCATTCATGGCGCCATGGATGATACTATGAAGGATTAGGCCGTCGTGGCTGGGGGAGCGGAGGCTGCCGGCTCGCCACCAGTCATGGAGCAGATCCCGTCGGCGAAAACGAGGGCAAGGTCGCTGAGGCCACCGTCTAGACTTTACCTCACGAAATCTATTTCCCCGAGCGCGCGCGCTATGACCAATTTTTCGACATTCCCCGGACCTATTGACCATTTGCGGGTTAAAATAGCAACCGCCCCATTTTACCCTACGTTATTGGGATTGTATAACCGACAGCATCCATAGATCTTTGTTGCAGGGTGCGACTGAGCTGTGCCTTGTAAAAGCCTTGCGAGAAGAAGTTAGGGAGGGACTGAGGATATACTACTGTACATGTATGACTAGAAAAAACCAATGTATAAGAGCATAAAGCATCTTCATGCCTTGTCGGCATGCTGTTTTACCCTATTTCTTTTTTTTTTTCCTTTCCCTTATCTTAGGTCTCCCTTTCACTTGATTGTGATTCGCATCTAGAAGCTGGTTAAGACGCGGGGGAATGAGGGTGAACTGCATGTATAACCTTCATGCTACTTTACTACAAAGATAGATCGGCGAAGATTGTTATTTCTTCGTACCGTCTTCCCACTTATTCCAAACACCCTTCACACCAAACCCTAGGAGGGTTAAGAACTACGATGCCCAGACCAAGGAAACAAAAACGACATAAGAGGATACCATAAAAAAACACCAGAGGATGAGAGCGCTTCCATTCCGTCTTTTAGTTGGTCCGCGCGGGAATCTTTAGCGCAAACTGCTTGAGATACTCGTAGTCGGCGATGTTGTCCTCGACGGTCTTGCGAATGACGCGCTGGGCATCTTCACCGTATTTTTGCTTCCATTCTTCATCCTCTGATTCAGAGGTGCAAGATTTCTTCTCCGTTTTGTTAGTATGGATGTGGAGAGCGTGGGGAAGAATGAAATCGCAGGGAGGGGAGCAGATAGACTCACTTGGGCATGGGAACGCGGTCTTAGTGATGAGCTCTTGATGGCATCATTGTGAAAGCCATTCCACTTTTCAAAGGCCTCGGACGCATGGGTGGCGTCGTCCTGGCTCCAGTTGAGCATGTCTGACCGGAAGTCGATGCCGACCTTTTCGCAATACGCACGGATGGCGGCTTCGGGGTTGTCGAGCATGTCATCGGCGTCGAGGACGACTAGGCTGTCGCGATCGACAACGCCCTCGGAGATGAGGTAGTCAAAGAGGCGACGCAGCTCGTCGTAGCCGGCCTCGTTGGGGAGGAAATGGTCAAAGTTGGTAATGGAGTCGAGGGGGGAACGGTGCAGCGGTAATAGGAAGGTATGCTGCGGCGGGGGTGGCGGATGAGGAATGTGAACTGGAAGCGGCGGAGCTGGTCGAGGGGAAGATGGTGGGGTTGTTCGGGTCCTGCTCGGCGCCGAGGGAAGGGGGATGCGGGCGGGCTTGCGGTCCGGGGGAAGAGGTAGTAGGCCATATCCTTGATGAACACGCGCTTGTTTTCCTAGGACGGATTGTTTGTGTTAGTGAGGCACGGGGAAAAAAGAGGGCGAATTTTGGCGGGTTGGGCATTCGATCGGTCGGCGCATCGGACTGCCAGCGCTGGGGTTCCAGCCCGTGTAGGAACGGCGCGGAAATCGCAATGTGCAGCGGACCTTGGGGCAGACTGATAAAGGGAAAAAAACAAAAGGAGACCAGAAAAAAGAGGAGAAAAAGATTGAGGAGAGAGATAACCAGTCTGGAGGGCTGAAATCGCGACCTCTAAGACTGATTGGCAAACGAAGGCTTCGTTGACGGGTTCGGTGATCGCCAGCGAGCATCGCCGACCGCGCGCCGTATTACCGGCAGCGGCTTTCACGATGCTCGAATGCGCCTGCGGCATTTGGCCTCCAGCCAAGCGGACGTAGCGCAACAGTTTAACCAATCAACAAAACCGCATCGGGGGCATTGGATTGACAAGAAAACGCCCCAAAAATTCCCTTAGAATTGAAAGAACGAGAAAAATATAATTGAGGGAAGAATGAAAAATAATAATAGAAAGTTTCGAACCTCATCGGCCACCTTCAAGATGGTATCGAGCACATCTTTGTAGGTAGTGTTGGCGTAACCAGATTTTAGGCGGTATTCATTGTCGTTCATCCAGCGCTCGCTCATGCGCTCGGGTCCGTAATAAAAAGGTTCGCCAAAGGGCTCATGAACGCACTCAAGCGAGTCCCTGCGGGTCATGAAAACCTGCGTTTTGCCCCCTAGATGTTAGCGGAGTCAAGACTAGCAGGAGTGGGAAGGGGTAGAGGGGATGAGCTCGTCACATACCCTTTCAAAAGCTGTAGAGCAGGCACGTGGGTGGGTGGCCGTGAAGATGGGTTTTACCGAAGCCATGTTGGAAGGTGTGCGGGTTTCCTGGGAAGCCAAGATGGAGCTGCGGTTAGGGTGGAGGGGTATCTGGGAACTCAGGCACCGAACAAAATGAAGAGTAATCAAGAAATCCCAGTGATGATCAGTAAATGCCAAAGGATTTAGAGAAAAAAGGGACCCAGTAAATGTTGATCTGAGAGGTGATTATTAAACAACGATTGAGGTGGATGGGCAAGACACCAGCAACGTCAAATCGAACAGTATGAGGAGGGGATGAGCAAGAAGAGAAGAAGAGAGAGAGAAGGAGAAGAAGGAGAAGAATGGAAGGCGGAAGTAAAGTAGAAAAGAGGAAGAGAGAAGGAGAAGGTAAAAGTAGATGAGGGAGCAAGTGTGAGAATTGGCAAGGAGTGAGGGTGAAAGCAAGGTACCTCTTCACACTACTGCGTCGAGGGAGGCGGCGTAGGACGAAGAGCTCTCAAGCGGGAAGGTGATGCGCGTGAGATGGTTCCGGAATGAGGGGTTCAGTGCAAGATTCTAGATTGGATCTCCAGGGACTTGGACTCTTCGGGATCGAGTCCAGGTCAGGGCATACGGAGATGTTTAAATATGAGTTACTCTTGGTTCACAATGTTCCTTTTTGAGGGTCTCCCGGCCACAGGAAGAAAGGGTGCGCGGGGGTGGACGAAGCTACATGCCTGCTCGTAACAATGTATATATGATGGATGCATGCATCGACTAACCATCAAGGATGGCGGGTCAAACAGGAACATGGATGCCAAGTGCGGCGCGCGACATCCATCAGCTTTCAGAGCCTGCGGGGGCCGCCGGCGTAGTCTCCAGTTCGAGTCGAGAAAAACGAAGCTAAGGACGACATCGAGCGGAGTGGGTGACGCGACGAAAGCGGCAAAAGAAGGACATGATTCCCTGAGCCGACGAGTGGAAGAGAAAAAAAGCTAAAGGCGAAAACGAGAACAGGGATACAATGTCATCCTTCCATCGATGTACTCTTTTGAATTTTTTTAGGAGACAAAAAGAAAGAAGAAAAACCGGGTCCTCTGAGTGCTCTTTGGCTCTTTCCTCTCGAGTTCCTCTTTCCTCTGGAAAAACTCTTCTTTGGCCCCCGTTTCCATTTGAATGGGCGGAAATGGGGTTCAATTGGGTGAAGGAGGGAAAAAGCCCACAGATCGTTCTCCCTAGGTTCCCTTACTGGAAAGCTAGCTAGATGCTACATCCATGTAGATGGAGTCAAGATGGATAAAGAAGTATCCGGCTTCTTTCGATTTTTGTCGTTCAACTTCATTTTGCGAACCCTCAGCTTTTTCAAGACAGACTGGATCCTTAATTTGCCAATGATATCTCAAACTCATGATTTGATCAGTAATTGATACCACGCAAAGGAAAAACAGAGCAAACCCTCCATCACCCCCTCCATCAGTTGCGGGACTGGAACGGGAGAAGAGAGATTTACATCTGACTAGCTTTTTTGAGTGCCGTCCTGGCCCCGGAGTCCAGGTTCAGTGCTGGTACGTCATCGGTGGCGGCCCTGCCAGCGGATGAGGGGCCCAAGGCCGCCCGCTCGGACTTGATGCGCCTTCTCCACTGCACTGGGCAGCAGATGTTAGCCAGTGCAGTGCAAGCCTGGCAACCTCAAGTTGCACGGTACATGGGGAAGTAGCGAAACTGGCCCCCACGGGCTTGGGAGCCAATGAGAGCAAGAGCCTCAGCCTTGGCTCAGTGCCATCGGTGAGTTCCTTGTACTTGGCGATGCCTGTACTCGTGCCGATGCCGAAGGTATTCCGCAAAGAGCGAGGGAGAACAGTGAGGGAGTCCTCTTGGATTAGAATGGCTCGCCCGTCACCATGGTGTGTTGTTCTTTGCCAGCAAGTAGAGACACTTGGAGGCAATTTGATGCCAATACATCCTTTCTATTGACACTAATCGATCACTCATCACCGCGCTCCGCACCCTTCAGAACTGGCCGGTGAGCTGAGCAAAATGACACCCACGGGCCCAGAACATTGATGACTCTGCAAGGGGGATGTTCGCTGGGATCATGGAGGGTTTGGTCTACCAAGCAAGCTTTGCGTCGCGTGCCTCTTGTGTCCTGTCCTCCCGTCACCCCACGGCATCTGCGTCATATCTCACTGTTGGACACCACCAAGATCCCACTTTGTTAATTAGTCCCCCATCCTTCTCCTGTGAGGGAAACCAACCAAAGTACCCACGGAATGCTCTCTCGTATTAGTTTCTCGGAGTCGCTCCCCCTGGCTGGGGGTAAGGATTAGATATTCGCTTCTGCATCCCCGTCGGACCCGCCCGGCCCCGCCCGTACCCTCGAGGACCGACGCCGGTCGCTCATGCTGGATACGCGGGGTGCGGCGCGCAAAGGGAATGGGGGTTCATGTCGGGGATTCCATCACAAGTCAAACGTACGCGGAGGTTCCTGCCGTTCTTTGCTGACATCGGTGGGGGTATTAACGGGGCCAGTTGTCAGTGTCGAGGCGGGGGCTCTAGAAAGGGAAACACTTGCCCGTTCTGGCAGTGCTGGCATCGAGATGTGGCGGGGAGATCTCACCCAGGGGCCACGGGTCGGTGGCCGCCTGATGCCTTCGTGCGTCGGACAAGGCTGGAATGGCAATTTTCTGATGCTGCTAACAGTCGAGTTAATTGACCGAGGGGCGCCGGTCTCTTTAGCTCATATTATCTACTATTGCCCCTTAGCCTCTTCTTGAGACACGCTCGCCTTTTTCTTTTTCGTTGGCCGACCGCGCCCCACTACGAGGGCCCTGAAGTCGGGCCTCCGAGACCCGGACAAGGACGGATAGCGGAGAAGCGCATCTGAGAGAGAGAGAGATGAAGGGAGTGAGGCGGATCGGCGGGGCTGTCCATTACGGCAAGGACAACATCGGTGGTCGGGAAGCTAAAGGGTGGAACGGGGAGCTAACCAGCATGAGAAATCTCCTATTCGCGACGCTTGCAGGTGATGGATTCGCGTAGCATCACATTGAGCAATCTATTCCTTCTACATGAGAAAGCTGAGGGACTCCGAGCCTGCCCCATCCCACTTGCAGGGTGCATTTTCTATAGCTTCCTGCGTTCTGTAGGTCCACAGGGGCGCCTGAGAGGGATTATGCACTTCCTTTTCCCCGGCCCACTTTCCTGTCCTTTTAAAGTTTTTTTTTTTATTCTCCCTTTACTTTGAGGGTGCGGTACAGCTTTAGGGAGACTCGTGTGCATGTGAGGGTGGAACCGGTGGTCAGTTCATGGTGGCGATGATGATAGGTGTCCAGGGCATCGGAGCTCGAGGGCATGGGGGTTAGCTCCGTCTCCATTGCCTTGGTGTACTTTGTCAAATTTTCATCCATTCAACGGGATTACCCGAGGTTTTGAGGATCTCGGCGATGCACTTGTCACAAAATGGGAAAGGGGAAAAGAAAAAAGAAAAGGAGCTACAGAGTTGTTCATGGCTTCTATATTTGTGATGTTTCTTTATTTCTTGTATCCTTTGGGAAGATATCGCCGTCTTGAGAGGAAGGAGCCAGTCACTGCGCCGTGTTTCAAACATCTAGCTTTTTACCATTCTCGAATCTCTAGATATAGTATTTTCTTTTTTCCTTTCCCTTCATTGATGCTTTTAAAAAGAGATGAAGTGAGAGGGGCAAATGAGAAGCGGGGAGAGGAAAGACACCAAACTACGATTTAGAGCTTCTTCTCCTCTGGCTATACCAGCTTCCTAACCACCTCGAGCTCTGTGCCACGCGTTCCACCTCAACGAGGGCATCCCTCACCTCGGCATCGAGGTCATAGTGGCCTTCTATCTCGATGAAGAAGAGGTACTGAAACGCCGTGATGAGGCTAGGCCGGCTATTAATGGTCGTGAGGTTCAGCCTCGCCTTGCGGAAACAGTCCAGCACGTCGGCCAAAGCACCGGGCTCGTGATGCGGGACCGTCAAGGACACGAGGGACTTGGTCTCCGACCGGGGCACCTTTTCGCCGTCGCCCTGGCCCTGCCGAGGCACCTTGAGCTCGGGCCGCCCCGTCTTCTTGATGATGAAGAAGCGCGTGGTGTTGTCCTCGCGGTCCTCGATAGACTTGGCGAGCACGTCGACGCCGTAGACCTTGGCCGCGATCTCGCTCGAGATGGCGGCCGAGGTCCCCGTCTTGTCCTCCTTGACCATCTCGGCCGCGCGGCTGGTGGAGCTCACGTCGATGGTCTCGACGCCCTTGAGGTAGGTGGAGAGGAAGACGGAGCACTGGCCCCAGGCTTGCGGGTGCGAGTACAGCCGGGTGACGTGCTTGAGGCTCCCGAGCGGCTTGGACCGGGGCTTGAGCGGGTTCGGGTCCGCGGCGGTGGGCGTGCAGGTGCCGGAGCCGCCGCCGTCGTCGAGCTGCAGGGCGGGGTTCCGGTGTCCGAGGAGGAAGTGGTGCACGTCGACGTAGGCCTCGCCGCAGACGGTGATGTCGGGGCAGGTCTGGAGGCGGTTGGCGAGGTTGTCTAGGGTGAAGATGACGGGTCCGTTGGTGGAGTTTTCAAAGGGGACCACGCCGAAATCGGCCTCTCCTCTTTGCACTACCTCGAAGACCTCTATACGGTTGAAGAGCGGTCAGCAAACGCATGAAAAAAGAAATAGCCCCAGACATTCTTGATCAACCCCGCCTAGCTTTTGGGGTGAAGGTCGAGATCTTAGGGGAAAGTGAGTTTGATGAAAGGGTGATATGAGGGCCTAGCTCATACAAGGGCCGTGGTGGCAACCGCTGTTTCTCAACCAACTTACCATCGATATTTGTCGAAGGCCTCAAGTCATACTTGTCGTCTGAAAAGGACTGAAGAGCGGCCTAGATGTAGAAGGAAGATATCAGTCACTTAGCCTCACCCTAGAGCTGCATGGTGTGTATGGTGATGGGAGCATGCCGAGGGAAACCACGGAGACAGGAGATAGAGAAAGGAGAGATCGAGAGAGAGATCGAGGCTGACCTGGTGGGTATAGGAGGAAATGGGTCCCAAGAACGTGACAATGGGTGTGCATGCGATTCCGTTCTCGGCCGCGTGCATCGTGTCGGCGGCAACAGCTTGCCCACCACCCATAGCTAGAGGCGCTCTAAAGCTAACTGGAGAGGCGGCAAAAGAAAAGACAATATGGATGGAAGCAGGTGTGAGGTTTGAATTATTTCAAGTCATCAACGGGCTGCTACACGGCGCCAAGCACAAACAGACACACACGCGTAGAAAGAAGGATGGCAGAGGGGCGAAGCGCTCAGAAGTCTACCCCCGAGGCTCGCCAATACTATACACAGCTATTCTCCAGCGCAGTTAGCCAGCCAAGCTTAGAACATGTTTGGACCAGTGGTCCCATGAAAATGAGTAGAGGTTTAACCGACAGCGAACTGACAGACAAGAAGCGCTCAGAACCCTGCGGTTCTTGCAGGCTTTGGTTGTCGTCAACTTATCGGGACGAGGCTCCCGATCTCGTCCGAAATGCGCCGGCAAGGCCACCAGGATGGAACCGCCCTTTTCCTTCGATCTCGTCCCTGGGAAGTTGGGGTGCTTGAGAGTCCTGTGGAAACGTGGTGCGCGGGTCGAGGGCTCTCCTTCCTCAATGTGTAGCCGCAATGCGCAATTTGGCGAGGTCAAGAGAGAAAAAATCACCCATCGGGAAGCTACCGACTCCGGATCTGATCTTCTCCCCTCACTCGGGAGCCTATTAGCGTGGTACATGACTAACAAGATGTCGTGCTTCCGCCGGTTGTCTTACGATAGGCTGCTACGTGGACCCTATTTTTCGGTGTCTAGGACTACCGCGGAGGTGGGAAGCTAAATGCCAAAACAGGGAGAGCAATTGGCGATTCTCAATGGGGGAAAGGAGCGAAAAGAAGCTATTGAGCATCACTGAATGAGTATCCCTTTATTTTCTTCCTTTCTCTTTTTTGCTGCCCTGTGAGGTCATTCAAGGCTGGGGAAATCTGACCAATGGAGACAAAGGTGATACCAACTCTGCCCACCCACATTCTCAGAGTCCGCAGGCGATTGAGCGCAACGATGGCGGCTTGCATAGAGTTGAAAAGCCGTGGAACGATGAATCAACCAAGAGGCATTCTTAAAAGAAGGGGTCATGGCCATATCCCAAATCATTCATGAGCACCCAAGAGATAGACCCTAGAGGGGAAAAGAGTTTCGAAGATCTCGTCCCCGCTTCCCTTTTCCTAGCCGCACCGGATCGAAAACAGCCATGGCGTGTTGGCATCGGCTTGGTCGACCCTCGGTCCCTCGAAATAGATCTGGTAGGGTACGGGAAGGCCTGATCCATGATCCGAGCTGACCTGACCTCCAACCCCAAGCCTATTTTCAATTCTTCCGGCCTCGCCAGCTCGAGGTTGATGCGATCCGGTAGGTCGGTGGGCCAAGTTAGTCCCCATCCCCCGTTTCGCATTGGAACTTGTTGACGGGATGTGAACAATCCTCGTCTCGAACAGGCATTCAATGTGTTCTACCCTAACGTGCCATCGCGCCGGGTGCGGAGCGGAGAATGGCCAGGCATAGAGAGATACAGAGCCTCGAATTGATCCGTAGACTCGCCACCCCCAAAGCGCCTCCGTTCCTCCCTCGGATTTATTAACTCGCCCTCCCGGCTTCTCCGAATCCGGTGCCCAAAGCCCTTACCACACTTTTTCTAAAACAGTCTAAAAGACAGGCCCTAGGAGAACCAGATAACGAAATGAGGGAAAATAGGACGAGCAGAAAGAAGGAAAGAAAGAAGGAAAGAAAGAAGGAAAGAAAGAAGGAAAGAAAGAAGGAAAGAAAGAAGGAAAAGGGCAACGGTGGGCTCGGAGCTTGGTTCTGCGGTTGCGACGGCCCTTCCATCCAAGGCGACATTCGGCCCCCTCTTTTCAAGCTATATGTAGGCACTGGTAGTCCTCTCGCCGGTTTCTTTGCATGAGATTCCTTGCTCCACCCATATGATGCGGCTCACGATGATGACATCTATATAAACCAGATCTGAACAAGAAGAGGAGGATCGAGATTCCGCAATACGCCTCTTCCGCTCCGTGCATGGTACAGGAAACACACCGACGGAAGATGGGAATGGTAATTAAGGCTAATGATAATTTTTGGGGATTTTCGTTTAATGATCGGCCATTCCCGTCATGCTTTCTTTTCTCCGGGTTTACGAGGGTGCTGGGCGCCTGTTCCCAAAGGTGAAACGAGGATAAGATCACCGTTTATGAGGCCATCGAACGGCACATCGAGCACTCTTTTTATCCCTCTGCTGCTTCACGTTCTTTTTTTCTTTTTCTTGTAAGCCGCATAGATATGTGCTAGGCTGCGCATACTATGGCAGCCGCCGACTTTTTCCTTGTCCGTTTCTAAGAATATGCTTTGCGACATATCCATGTGGAAACATTTGCCTGCGACAAGATGGGCAAGTAGAGATCTTGTTCAAAATCAAGGCTAGGCTACATAACTGAAATTTAGTATATTGATGGTAATCTCATCATAGGTAGTTGCTTGGGCCCCCTCTGCAATAGTAATTGCTGGCTTTCTAATCTTTCCCAGCCGTGTCCATCATCGTAGACCTTATGTGGTTCTATAATCATCCCCCGGCCCATCCCAGCGAGTGAGGCCCAAGATGTCATCAGGCAAGGAGAGTTGAAGGGGAACTTGAGTCTATCATGCTCAACGGAAGGAGATTGTAGGATGGGAAGGACTCCTTCGGTGCCTAACCAAGAGCCTCTCGTATCCTTGAGGCCGATCGAATATATTGATAACGCAGGATCTTGGGAAAGTGGAGGGCGCAAATACATGGTGCATAGATGACCTTTGGACTACGCCGTCATCCACCTCGTCTCCATGGCGAGCGCCTACCTAGCCTAGATGTCAACTTTCGTATATGAGGAATGATACCCACATCAAGAGAACACGCCAAGAGCGAGCTCCACGAGGCCGCGGCGCATATAAAACCCATCTGCAAGATCATAATCGGATGAGCTCGCTTGCTTCCAACTCTGGCGGGCCGCCCCTAAACTTGGAATCTTTTCAAAGGCCAGACATAGTTCCGCTGCGGGTGAGAAAGCCCAACATTGGAGGAAAATACCAAGGTTTGACTGCCCTTGGAGGCCGGGATCAAATTTGTAGAAATGTACGGCGTCTCGTCCAAGAGATTGGGCGCGTCAACATCTATATCTGCCAAGGAACCGTCGATGTTGCACGACATGAGGAACCTGGATATCTCCCATCTCCATATATCCGGTATACATGATCCAAGACTATCAGTTCCTCTTGGGAGGAGCCGGGAGGTGAAGCGCAACCGGTATCGCATTTCAGACCGAGAGCCTACACTTAACGGCCCCAACCGTCGCTTCCTGTGTATATCACCTTCGACGACGATTCAGCTGAGTGCCTACACTACGGGGAGATGGTATGACATTTCCGGGTCGCAAAACACAAAACAAACCCGTCTTCCGGACCCCTTCGGCGTAGATCACCATCGCGTTTCCGGAGCACGGACCTGTACTGGTGCAAGTTGGCAAGAGGAACTGGACAGGATTGAAGAATATTGCGCCAACCCCGAGCCAAGGACACAAAAGTCACCAGAAATGGCGTATACCGACCTGACACATGTTGATGGGAGCATGACTGTTAAGAGTTTTTTTCGTTCTTTTAAGAGACTGTTTTGCCCTCACAACGACCTTGGGAGATTCTCATCATCTACCCTGGTCTAGCCAACGCGCGTCGATTTTTGGTTTCTGGTGATTGTCGGCCCTTCAATCCCGAGGAGGAGAATGGACAAGGCGGACAAGGGTCCCTTGCACCGCCCTCTTTTTTCTCTTGCTGTCTCAATGCTTCGAAAGCGGCATAACCTGGGCGAAGCTCTTGCTGGTCCACCAGGCTGAGCTAGGCGCTACCTGAGACAAAAGCCTCACTTAGCTTGCCCCAGTTTTCAACGTCCCGCGTCCAACGTCCCATTGACGTGAACGAAAAAAATACCGGCCAACGAAAGATGTTGGAGGAGGAGGTCTACGGAGCTTCACGGCGTCGCTCCGCACAAGCTTCAAATTACTTTTTTGGGGCGGCCCTCTTTTCTGTTTTTCCTTCCCTCGCCTCTCTCCTTTCGTACAACAGCCGCTTTGGTCTCTATGCATACCCGATTGCGTTCTCGTGTTAGCTGAAGGCAAGAGGTATCAAGTAGGCGTATCCGAGAGCGTCACCGTCTCGAGGAAGAAGAGCAGATTGGTAAACACAGGAGAGGGAGTGCGGGTTTCTTGGCACCGACGCCCAATACCCGTGGCCGCCTTGAAAAGGCACTGCCGGCTTCGAGGCGGGGAGAAGGGGGGAAGCGGAGACAATCGGGCGGAGGGGCGAACGCAAGGCTTTGGGGTGTGGGTTGCGGTCATTCCCCCCCAACGCACTTCACCTGCTCCCCACGATATGGGAGAATGAGGAAAGAAAAGCAGAAGAAAAGAATAAAAACGTCACTTGCGGACAACTCTCACTACATGTTGGTTTATTCCACGAATCAGAACATCCCGTGCCTTATCGTGAATCTCAATCAAAGACCGGGAGGGGGAGGGATAAAGAGAAGAATCGGTGAGCAAAGCGAGGGGGCACAGGCTTATACGGCAGGGAAGAACAGCCCCGTTAATATAAAACGAATAACGGCGCTTTTTAGCAAAGTCATCCCTCTCCCCTCTCTCCCTCCTTTTTGTCGGGCAGGGAGGCACGACGGGACAATGTGCAGCGCAGGCCTTGCGACGCACGTTCGGAAAACCTTTGCATTTGCGCCCGGGACTGGCCAGGAAAAACTCGCGAGGGGGCAGGAGGAGAGCTTGCTTTTCACCTTGATCCTCTGCTTCAGCGAGGGCGAAGAGGTGGGGGTGGGATTTCATCTCATCTTGGCCATTGCTCGCGTCCACTGCGCGGGCGCGCGCTCTGCTTGGACCCATGCGCAAATATTACCTGGTATGCTGTATCGAGGGCAAGAAAACGGTGGGTTAAAGCAAGAGCAGGCCAGATGGGTCTGCGTCCCGCGTCCCACTCTCCGCGTAATTTTGCCGGTTTTTATTCTTCTTTGTTTGATGAACTCGGAGGCGGGGGTTCAAGAACGAGCAGACGCTTCGAGGACATCAAGACCTCTTTTCGAGCGGGAGCGGAGGTGGTGAACGTGGACCACGTGCGATATGAGGGTGTGTGGGGTCATGGTTGAACCCCAAGATACAGCACGGGAGCAGGAAAGAGGGAAAGAGGGAGCGGAAGAGGCGTGAAGAAATGGCAATGGCAAAAGCAGGTGGCGGAGAAGAAAGGGCCTGGCTAGAGGGTGGGATGCATCGACGGGTGCCGGAGAAGACGCCACGCGAAAAAGAACATTGAATGCTGAGAGAGGGGGAACGGGTTGCGACGGTATTGATTGCAGTATATCTTATTCCCTAGCGAAATGACGGTGACTGGAGCTAACGCGCGGGGTTTCGTCCTTCTCCCCAGGCACAGAGCCATTCATTGCTGTGGTTTCGCGCTGTCTGTCGTGTTAGCCAAGATTCCCAAGCAGCTCTGATATTGCTCCCCTCTAGGAAAACTAATGATAGTGGGTGGTGTTATTATGGTCATGACGAAGAGGGGAAATGCCTCGATAGGGACGTTTCAACATTCTATTTTGACAACAATATGAGAGGCCAACCACGAAGATTGGTAAACAAATCGGGTTGAAATATTCGGCAGAAACTAAT